CTCTCTCTCTCTCTCTCTCAAAAATAAACAAACATTTAAAAACAAAACAAAAAAAAGAAACAGCCCCAACCGGCCACCTTCCTCAATGTCTCCTACTGAAGCCAGTTTAGCCGCACGGCTGTGCCCCGGGTTTCCACACAGTGAGCTGACACCCAGATCGATATCCGTTCATTTACAGTTTGAAAGCATTAAAAACCAAACCCTGCTTCTTGCTTTTGGGAAAAGAGAAATCCTGTGCCCTGTGGGAGAAAGACCATGAAAACAGAAAGGACTCCCCACCGTCCGTCCGTCTCTCTCCTCCACCTAAGGAAACACTATGAGAAAGGCAGACACAGAAACAAAGCCCCCGGGGAACGTGCCTCCGCCCGCCGTGGCTCTGACACGTGCAGGTCACACGGGATCCCCGAGTCGGGCCCAGGGCAGCAGCCTCACCGGCACGCGGCCCCGATCGCACCTACAGGCCCTGCCCCGCGTGCTTCCAGCAGAGTCGGGTCCTTGCGACATGGGGTGGGGGGCTCGGATCCCTCCCTGGCCCTTCGGGGGGCGGTGGGGGAGGTCCGCCGGCCCCGCTCTGAGCGTAAGGTCCTGACCCGCCAGCTGAGAAGATGCCGGGAGCAGTTTACCTTGAAGAAGAAGCCGACCCCCGGCTTCTGGTCGCCTTCACTGGCGAGGTCCACGGCGCTCTGAGGGCCCTCCGTCTCCCCGTCCTCGTCAGGGGCCTTCAGGTCCGAGAGGTCCACCTCGATGAGACTGGCCTTGCCTCTGGGGGCCTCATCCACAGGGACGTTCTCCTTCCCTGAGACCGAGGGGCAGCTGAGCCCCACCTCCTTCACGCCGCTTTCCAGAACTTCTTTGAGGCTCATCTGTTCGGACAGAATATTTGCGTCTTTGGAAGAAGACAAGACAAGTGTCCGCTGGTTGTTCTCGTCGTGGAGCCGGTAGCTGTCAAAGAAGTACTTCTCGGGAGGGTCACCGCCAGGCTCTGCAACACCGTCCCAGCCCGGGTCGGAGGGGGTGCGGGGCGGGCAGGGCCGCAGGTGCGGGAGGCTCTCCACGCTGGGCGTCGGGGTCTTGCTGCGGGAGGAAGCCTGCCGGTCCTTGGGGACTTTCAGCTCGGCCGGCCTCCCGGAGCGGGAATTCCGAGCCTGGCCGAGACGAGGAGGTTTGCGGTGAGTGGCCGTCCCGGGCGGGGAGAGCGGCTCCACAAAGTGGATGGCCGCGCGCACCTGCTGGTCCGGGCCGCCGTGCTTGGGGCCCGGGGCCGGGGCCGCGGGCGGCTTCATGAGCAGCTGCTCCTGCTGCTGCGAGATCCTCAGGATGGCCTGCTGCAGCGTGCTGATGGTCTCGTTCAGCTTCTCGATGGACAGGTCGCACTCGCTCGCGTCCGCCGCCTGGCCGGCGTCCTCCAGCAGCGCGGCGGACAGCGCCCTGCTCTTCTCCAGCTCGTGCAGTGCGGCCGGGGCCGCCGCTTTATGCTGCAGGAAGACCGGGCTCTCGGCGTCCACGTCCGGAGACTGCAGGGCGCCTTCCCTCCCCTCCTCCTTCGCGGCCAGCTCCTCCGTCCCGGAGGCCCCGTCGAAGTCCTCCCCGTCGTGCCGCGCACGCTCGCCCGCCGGGCGTCCGGGCTGGCGCGGCGGGGCGGCGCCGTCCGCCTTCCCCTTCTTGACCACGTGCAGGAAGGCGGCCTTCCCCAGCTTCAGCCGCTGCCGCGCGGACAGGGCCTCCACCTCCCTCTTCTGCGCCTCGATGGCCCTGCGCTTCTCCTCCAGCTGCATGTGCAGCTGCACCAGCTCGGAGGCCAGGAGGCTGGCGTGGTCCGCGCTCTGCCCGCCCGGGCTCTGCTCCCTGCGCTGCTTCCACGTGGTCAGCGGGGCCGGGCAGCTCTCCGAGGCGTCCGGCGTGGTCTTCTGGGAGCTGCTGGTGCTGGACCTGGTCTCGCAGCTGTTGAGCCTCTGGAGCTTCCGCTCCGCGAAGCTCGTCATCTTCACGCTGCCGCTGGCCGCGGAGACGCCGCTGACCTGGGACACGGCGCTCAGACAGGGGCTCGAGCGGCCACTGGCGTCGTCCTTGTCCTCGTGCTCCCTCACCTTCATGTCCTCCTGCAGCTTCGCCGACTCCTCCTCGCCGACGTACCCGGCCATCACCACGGGGTGGTCCTCGCCGACCAAGTCCTGCTCGGCTTCCTCCAGGTCTGCGACGTCAGAGTCCGAGTCCTGCCTCAGCACGGCCCACGGCTCGGGGTCGTGGGCGCCGGGGCTCCTGGCACAGCTGACGCAGAACCTGCCCTCCGCGTCGTCGGCGGCCCTGGCCACGTGGAGAAAGAAGCCGTCGGCAGGCTGTCCCCGGGGTGACGGATCGAAATCACTCACCGCCTGCGGCCCCGTCTCAGCAGGCACGGGGTCCACGCCCGCGGGAGGTTCCGGACAGGAGATCGGGGTGAAAGTCCTGGTCGGGTCACGGCCGCCGTGACTGCTGGGCGCCCTCTTGCGCACCAGGGGCTGGTGGCCCTCGCTGGGTCTCTTAGAGGCGAAGCTCCGTGGCCGCCCCTCTCCACACTCGTCCTCCTTGGCGATCGCCTGCTTCTCCTTGGCCGGCCTAAGCACGGCCGGCATCAACGGCTCCAGGAAGAAAGTCTCAGGCTTCCTTTCTAGGGTGTCTGCCAATCTCTGGGGAGACCTGGCACTTGCCGGCAGGCCCCAGTCGCCGCCATGGGGAGCCACGTCCGTTCTGATGACGGCCACGAGCTCTTCATCCTCGATGTGGACGTCGTTCAGGAGGCTTTTGCCATCGGTCTTCAGCGCTGCGGGCTGGGGCTGGTTCTGCGGAGTCAGGTTAATGACACCGGACGCCAGGCTATCCTTGCTGATGGAGCGGGCCAGGCTGACGCTGTCACCGGAGCCGGGGTCCAGGTCACAGCTGGCAGCGTGATGGAGAGCAAAGGGCGCTGGCTGAGACACAGGCCTGCAACGTGGGGAGAGAAGCCTGTTGGACACGCCACCGTCTATTCGAAAAGGGGACTCAAACACACGGAGAGACAAGGCACTAGTTACGAAAAGAGCGCACCGGCCTTACGTCTAGGGGATCTAAGCAAACCCTTCCCCGGAGCAGAGGACAACAGAGACCAGCTCAAGTCCGACAGTTCCCAAACACTTAGGGGAACACTTGGTTTGCGCATGAACAGGTCCCGGGACCTCTCTGTGCCCTTAAAAGCTGCCGAGGCCCTCAAAGAGTCTTCATCACACGCTCATTGAGTGCTCGCTCCGGCAGCACAGAAGCTAGTATTATATATCGATACCAACGTTTACGGTGCTGACGTTAGAGCTGAAACATTTCAAAAACAAAAAAAAATTATGGCAAGAAAGCCATCCCGTGAGGTATGACCGTATTTTCTAAACTGAAAAAGCTTATGTGGAGTGAAACACTCTCGTCATCCTCTCTGCCGTCTGCCTTGGGATTCGATCTGTCACAAGAATGAGAAAAACCGAGGAGAGGACACCCCAGCACTGTGAGGAAACGGTTCTGAGCCACGGACTCCCTGGGTGGGTCTCGGCGAGCCCAGCGGCCCCTGGACCCCCTCCGGAGAAGGGCAAGGTTAACCTGATGAACGTTTCACGCAGAAACTTCCTTGAAACACAGAGTTCACCTGTTCTGTTTTTCTGGCCATGCTACTGCTGCACCTCGTGGCTGGCCATCCACTCGGGTTAAAGAGTTGGACCGGTGTCGCTGATCTGCAGGGAGGAGGAAGCAGGGCGTTCGGTATTAAGCAACTGACTTCGTAGCATCTCAAATTCTTGCAACCTAATATGGAAATTTCTCAAGGAAACGCACCATAATTCAGTATACCAGAACTGCCCAAGAAAAACAATGACAACCACAATACAGCCTTCAAGAGTTTCGGTAAGTAACACATGACTTAGTATTTAGTCCAAATCATGACATGAGACCATCGGACCTCTAACTAAACATCCGTACGTGCAAGTCCTTGCTTATTAGGTACGACAGAACAATTATTCTGTATGCTTCACGTAATTAATGATACTTTCACCAGGGGTGCCTGGGTGGCTCAGTGGTTGGGCAGCTGACTTCGGCTCAGGTCATGATCTCCCGGCTCGCGAGTTCGAGCCCCGTGTTGGGCTCTGTGCTGACAGCTCAGAGCCTGGAGCCTGCCTTGGATTCTGTGTACCTCCCTCTCTCTGCCCCTTCCCCAGTCGTGCTCCGTCTCTCAAAAATAAATAAGTGTTTAAAAAAAAAAACGATACTTTCACCACAAAGACTATACATTCTAGGAAACATCCACACAAATTAAAATTTTCCAGACTAGAATGACCAAATCAGAGTAGGAATATCCCCCCGAGGACCATCACCTAATGCATAGGCTGCAGGAGGAAGGACAAAAGACCAAGGCAGGTGCAGGGGACGTGTGCTCTTACCAGGAAGGCCCTCCCCCTGTGCGGTCTTCTGCTGTCTCTGTCTCAGAGGCAGTAAAGGGTGTGATGGGCTAAAGGCAGAGGCGCCTTTCCCCCTGAATGGGAAAGAACAGGAAAAGAGAATCACCAGTGTATCAGTCTTCAAGTTCAATGGCAAATGCGTGTAATAAACCACAGAGAATAAACCACAGACAGAATCATGAATCACGGCAACATACGAGAAAATCACAGGTTCTTTGGGAAAAGTTAATTATTATAAAAATTAGCCAAGAGTACCAAGAACTTCAAACCCGGGATAAATATCCCAAAAGTGCCACTCGGGGACACAGTGGCGTGTGCAGACCCTCCCCCGCCTGGGGCTGCCGGAAGCAGAAGGCAAGCGGGGGGAGGCCTCCCACGGCCAACCCCCCCCTACTTTCCCCATCACCCCTGCAGAACACGAACTGCGATTCTGAGTGCAAACTAACTGGAGAAGAGAAGCGGACGGGGACTCACAGGTGCTCGGGCTCCTCGGGGTGCAGGCGGTGCCTGTGGCCGCCTTCGGCTGGCAGGGCAGCGGGGGGCTGCAAGTCGGCTGGGCTCGCCGCCGCGGGGCTGCCCAGGAAGCTGCGCTTGGTGGCATTGGAGATGGGAACGGGAGGCCGACTACTCTTGTGGTGCGACACCGTTTTAGCTGCACAAATGGCAATTTACAGAAACGTCCGTGTTATTCGCAGTTACCAAAAACATTAGCAAGAAGCGCCTAAAAAATGAAACATCCCGCAGACTTCTCCCAAAACAAGACGACTGCCGAAAGTGAAAGCTGCAACACCGGCAGGGCGGGAACCAGCCGGCGGCCGCGACCACTAGCAGGGACACAGAGCCTCAGCCCAGAACCAGGGGTCCGGTGGTCAGGGGCACCCCAGGTCACCCACCCAAGTAAAACACAAACCACCACATCCCACAGCTCTCATGGGGAGGAGGGTTCTAGACGTGGCACGCTTTGACCTGGGGGGACACCCTGCCCGAGTGGCACACGGGCTCCGAATGGGGTGCAGAGCAGCCAAGGGCCCCTCCACAGGCACCGCCACGCGGACTACAGGTCCCAGTGGGAGACACGCAGAGGCGGACGCTGGGCCCCTGCAGCCCCACGACGCCTGCTGACAGAAGAGAAGCCCAGGCCCGCTTAACAGGTGGGGCAACTCTGAACGCGGACAGATGCCGCAGGTTGCTGCCAGCCGGCCTGTCGTCAGCCCCGCCACGCAGGCACGGTGCGCCCGCGCACGAAGGGGCCGGGGCAGGGCTGCACCTACACGGGGAGGCGAAAGGCAGGCTCCCCCGGGGCCGGCACGGAGCCCCTCAGAGGGACCGGTCCCCGAGAAGCCAGATGCCCACGTGGTGGCACGTCAAGTCTCTCAGACCCGCTGTGGGAGGACCGGTGACCCACTGAAGCAGACGGACACACGTCCCGCCTCGAGTCCGCCTTCCCGTCCGCAGGGCTCAGCCACGCCTGTAGCCCAAAGCGGCCAGCAGGTGCCCACGCCGCCCACGTGATGCCAGGGACGTGCCTTACAGCAGAGAGGCGCCAGGGTGGGCCGGTGACCCGTGAGCCCCGCCGTGCCCCCTTTCCCTGCCCTGCTGCCTCCAAGCCTCCCTCCCGCTGTGTCTGAAAAACCACCACCATCCTTCGGAGGGCAGCCCTTCCAGGCCAGAGCGCGCGTCGTCACCACACCCTGCAGCCAAACGCCACGAGTTTGCCCATCTCCGCCTCCAGCGCCGGCCCTGCTCCCAGGTGATGCTCAACACCTCGGGGTGAAACCCCAAGGGGTGCGGGGGCGGTCGGAGACTCCCGGGAAGGCACTCAGGGCCCGGTGCACAGAGAGGGGTCACGTGCAGCACGCGACCTCACAGGACACAGTGGGAAGGAGAGCAACTGGGCAGGGACCAGGACGAGGCCCTCTGCAGAGGCAGAACAGGCGACCAGCCTCTCAACCAAGAGATGATAAGGTTCTTGAGCTGGGGAAGCCAGTGACAAGGACAGGGAAATGTACCCGCATTCTTCCCCAAGCCCTGGCACCGTTCGAGTAGCCTGCGGCCAACACGGCGGGGACATCTGTCGGTCACCGTTCCGTTACCGATTAGGCGAAGCATCTCTGCGTGCATTTACTGAGCATTTGGAGCACCGCTTTGTACCTGTGCAAGTCTTTTCCTTTTCTTCTGTTTGTTTGTTTTTTTTTTTCTCATTGGTATGAACAAGCTTTTTATACGATCTGGGTACTGAGTATACGCTCTGGGTACAGGTATCTGTTTTAAGTTCTAGGAGTGTCTTTTCCCCTTTATAGCTAGTTTTCTTTTAACTCTTTATCTCCCTTCAATGAAAACAAAGTCTCAATTTTAAGGTGTCTGTGTTACTGTTTCCTTTGTGGCTTTTTAGATTCTTTCTATGGAATCGCAAGGACATGTACACATTCTTCCATACTGTCTTTTTTTCCTTTTTAATGTGTATTTACTCTTGAGAGAGAGAGAGAAACAGAGCTGGAGCAGGGGAGGGGCAGAGAGAGAGGGAGACCCAGAATCCAAAGCAGGCTCCAGGCTCCGAGCTGGCAGCACAGAGCCCGACGTGGGGCTCGAACTCACGAGCCGTGAGAACATGACCTGAGCCAGTCGGACTTAACTGAGCTTAACCGACGGAGCCACCGAGGCACCCTTCCATACTATCTTCTGAAGTCCTTACAGATTTGTCCTACCCCGTGGCAAACACAGTTTTTTCTGCCCCACAGACAAGACTAGAGCTGCATTCTTCCCAACCGAGGAGGCCAATCACTCTCCAAACGAGCCGGATTCTGATCTTACGGGACAAGCACAGGCCCAGAGCTGCACGCTGGGAAAAGCTCTAGGACATGATGCGAGAGCTGCAGACACGCAGCTATGAGGACGGCGCAGGTCTCTGTATTCCCAGAGGAAACCACGTAAACGCCACTGACAATGACAAGGCGGAGACCCGTTAAGGGCGCCTCTGGAGCACTGTATTCGACATCTCTGGGAGGAAACGGCCATCGATTCCCAGAAGGTTTTCACTCACCATCTTTCAGTTCCTGAACATCCCTGGGCTGAACGAAATCTGGTTTGACATTCTCAAACCACCAGAAGAGCTCGGCAATAAAAACCATAACGTTCGGCTGAAAGAAAACAAACAAAAACAGGGACACGGTAAATAGTTCATTCATCGATGGTTTTAAAAAATGTGTCTTTAATAATTCATGATTACCTTCAACACTAAGGGAGCATACAGCATGTCTTCTAAGGTGAGATAAAAGCATTTGTTAAGATACTCATTCGAGAACTCCCTCAGAAGCCGAATATTATACAGACTGTCAGCCATCGACGTTACCTCCTTCAAGCATATATCTGAAGGGCAAAGAGAAAACTACGGTTTATCATACACACGCTGCTTCACAAGTGTGTTTGCATTTACATATGTGTATATATGTGTGTGTATATATATGGGTGTGTATATATATGGGTGTATATACACACACACACACACACACACACACAAGTGTATATATACACATAATTTAAAATGAAAACATTTTAAATGAAGGGAAGAGTGATGTTTAAAAGGATAACATTAAGACATTTAAACACTGTAATAAGTAGAACAAGTAACAAGAAACACAGAAAAGAAAGTAAGCACTCAAGAAAAAGACCGGAGAATCTCTAGGGTCTGAATTTAGTTGTTAACATCTAAAAAAAGCATACCAGAAACTTTGAGATCTTAAGCCTGCGGTTCCAGAATGGAGAGTACCGTCACTTTTCAGTTGATAAAGGACATTGCTGCATAAAGCTGTTAACATTTTACCAAGTTTCTTGCACCAGCTGGACCCCTTGCATGAGGTCATCTCCACTGTGGGGGCGGGGGGGGGGCAGGCTACCCAAGGAGTAGTCCAGAATACCACTGTTCCCCCCAAGCCAGGAGACGACGCGTAGCAGAGGTCTCCCTCCATGAAAGAGGCTGGGGACGGCTGGTCGGCGGCATCTGGGGCGCTGCTCTGCAGGCTGGTGGCGCCCCCACCAGACCAGCAGGCTGGTGGCGCCCCCACCAGACCAGCACCGCCAGACAGCCTCACGCAGCTCAGACTAAAACGGAAGGAGCCGTGCAGATGACTTGAGAGAACTCTGCCTGCCAATACACGTAAGTAAGAAAAGAACCGATTTAAAAATAATTTTTTAAAATAATTTTATTCTTCAGAAGAAATCACCGGGAAGAGTTCAGAAGCACAGATTACATTTGCGGTGCCCCAAATTCACGACGACGAAGTCAGTCCTCCTCCGCGTCCTGCACGATCAACACAAAACAGTGTTCTAAGTGGACTGACTACGCACTGACACGGCTAACGGGCGGAGTGACTCCGCGCCCGGGCACCGCTAACAGCTGCTTCCTTACTTTACGCTCTGATTATGAAACATTACAGACATCGGGATCAGACTCCCAAGGATCGTCTGCTCAGACGGAAGCGTTAACACCACACCTTATCTGATTCAGATCTCTTCCTTCAGTAATGAGACGGCACAGCACCCGCACCCCCACGGCAAGGCTCTCCTCCGCCGGAGACCGCTGCCCGCTCATGGTCCGCGCGGCCACGGACGGTGCGCGTCCACAAACACTACCCTCTGGACCTGGCTCTCTTGAACCTATGCTCGCCATCCCACACTGCGCCTCCCGTTTGCAGCCTGTCCGTCCCCCAAACTCAGTGCTGTGTCCAAGTCCGTGTACGTTGATGGGGGTAGATTCCAGGTGTTCGTCTGAACAGCTGGACAGCGCTCCACAGTTTGCACTCTTGCACGCGAGAACCAAATCTGCATGTGCCCTCTGCGCCCCGCACACCCGGCCGCCCGGTGCTGGCAGCCCTGTGGGTCGCTGCCAGTTGGATGGGGGTGAGACGCCCCCTCGTGAAGCAGCACGTCCGTGACCACGGGCACAGTGTCACTCTCCACTTCTGCTTCTGCAACAAGCCTGTTCTCACTCTGTCTCTAGGTTGTTCAACTTCGTCTAATTTGTACAAATTCTTTACCTGTTATGGCCACAAAACGGTCGTGTGACGGTCCTTTGTCAATGTGTGTTCGTTCCAAATACTTTTCCATGGATATAGCTTGTCCTTTAATTTTCACACAGTTCCTCCGTCAGCACGCCGAATTCTCATGTGGTTAAATGTAATAAAATCTTTTCTATCGCTTGTGCTTTTCTTCTTGTAATTTCAGGAATCCATCCCAACACCAATGTCCTAAAGGTATTTTCCCGTGTTTTCCTCTCAAAATTACTATGTTTTGCTTTTCAGGCAGAGATCTGTCACCCAAGGCAGGGACGCCCATCTCATGTGGACTGAAGCCAGATGGCCACTCGTCCACAGTGCTATGCGCCCCGGAACGTCGCTGGCCGGGCTCCTTCGGGCCACGTGACTCTCCGGGGCCCAAACCACAGCAGTTTAGCCAAAGTAAAGTTAAACCAAACTTGGTCTTTGTCAAGCCAAGTACCCACACTCTCATTCTTCAAAATCACCTTGCCCGAAACCGGCACTAATCTACAACAAAACAGTGAACACGTGGGTTCTCATCTGCTGAACGGACAAGAAGCCACGGGGCCCTCGTGGTTCAAACCAACCCAAGAACAAGTGGCAAGAAGGCACACCACTCCCTTGCGGTGACAGGCCAGCTGATAAACAGAGGAGGAGGACAGGGCAAGCAAACTCCCCATGGACGGGACCACCAGCAGGTCAAAGTCTGCTGGGAAACAGGCTGTTTGTTCAGTCTCAGAGCCAGTTCCCCAAATGACGAGAAAGCCAAAACCAGCAACCTCAGACTGGAGAAGCCCAGCGACACGGCCTGAGCCAAGGGCGCCCCGACCTCACGTCCCCAGTCAAATGCACCAGGACGGTACATCACTTTGGAGGCACTCTTGCTAGCCCTGAATCTAATCAGAGGAAACACGGACAGACCCAAATGGGGACATCCGACAAACCAAATGGCCTGTACTCTTCACAAGGCCGAAGCCAAGAAAGACAAGAATGATGGAACCGCCTGACAGCCACCTAGAGGGAGTAAAGCCGGGCCACAACCAGCAGTGGGAGCAACGGCCACAAAGGACACTACTGGGACAAGTGACAAACCGCTCGGACCGCGAGTCAGTGCCGCGTCGCCCGTTAACTTCCGGTGTTCGCGGCGATCAGAGAGTGCCTTTGTCCCCCAGGTTGTTCTCAGACGGCTCAGAGGCAGAAACAGAGGTCATGTGACAAAATGTAACAACAGGGGCATGTGGATAAACGTACAGCCAAGAATGCCTTGTACGTTCTTCTGTAAACATAAACACGTCCAAATAAAATGTTACAGGGGTTAATTTCATCCCTTAGGCCTTTACTCTTCCACATGAATTTTTACCTTACTTTGTCCATTTCTGTAAAAAAAAAAAAAAAAAAATTATGTATTGGGCTGGCAATAAATGAACAAAGGAAATCACAATTTTTATACTGATTATCGGCATCTGAGAAAACAGCTTAGATCTTCTTCCAAGGATGACAAACGGGTCCTCCTTTGTCCAGGACTCACGGCGAGCTGCTGCGGGGAGCAGGGCAGGGGCAGGGAGGGCCCGACGTCAGAAGGCAAAGGCGCCGAGCCTGACCCCCACGTGGGAGCGCGTCCACGGCAGCAGGGGCCGGGGCCTTGGTGGGTGGCATCGAGGCAGCAGCAGGCCGACAGCGTCCGTCACACGTGGGCAGTGGCTCCTAACATGCAGTTTCCTGCACATGTGTCGTCAGGGTAAGTCCTCCCACCTTCCTGTCCGTCTTCTGGACCAGGCCTCTCTTTCGCTTTCGCCTCTTCTCTTCCACTGTCCATTCTGCTTTTTAGATGTCCTTTCCGGGAGATTTCTTCAAAGCCGTCATCTAACGCTTCAGTAAACTCTTAATTTATTTATTTTGAGAGACAGAGACAGACAGACAGAAGTCGAGCAGGAGTGATGACAGAGGCGAAGAAATCCCAAGCAGGATCCACACTGACAGTGCGAAGGAATCTGACACAGGGCCTGAACCCAAAACCACCGGGACCGTGACTGGGGCAGTTAGACCTCAACTGGCCAGACCGCTTAGAGGCGCCCCATCACCTCGTGAACTCTTAGAATTTCAGCAGCCACGTTTCTCTCCGCGGGCCGTTTCTGCCCAGTTAGGCAGCACCTCCGTCCAGGACACCATTTCCAGGCGCTCTCCTCCAGCGCCCAGTCATTAGCCACGGTCCTCTCTCATCTCCACGGTCTTCCCCACTCACCTACCGGGCCCCTGCGGTGGCCTCGTGTTCACACGGTGCCCTTCCTCAAGTGTCGGAGGATCCGTGGCCACCCAGAGTCGGCGGGGCGCACCGGGGCGTGGAGCCTCATAAAGGCGAGGCGGCAGGGTCTCAGTGATGGCCGCCCAAGAACTGATGGCACAGTCTTGCCTGAAGCAAAGATTCTGCAAGCGTCCTTCGGTTTTAGCACCGTATAATATCCGCGCCGGTCAGCGACACAAAAGTGGTGAGCGACGAGATCTAAAACCGGCTCCCTTGAAAAATCACTAACCGCGGCGCTGGTAAAAGCAAAGGTCTTCAAGCGCCGTTCCGCCGGGCAGCGAGAAACCCGGCGCAGAACCAGGGCGAGCTGACACCCCTCACCGCGTCAGGGTATCACACAGCAGTCGGCGTACACCGCGTCAAAGGAAGCACTCACAGCGTAGATGCTTTAACCGTCTGTCACGGACGAAGTAAACTCCGATACGATGAATCCCCGTGCCCCTCATCCTGTGGCTTGTTCTTGCTTCACCCTCCGGCTCTTTTGTCGCGCCCGCCCACCCCTACTTGACGACCAGTTTGTTCTCTGCATTCTGGCGACTTGACTTTGCTCTTTACGCTCCGCGTGAAATCCTTTTATTTATCTTTATTATTTCTTTTTTATTATTTCACTCGTAACAGCCTCCAGGTCATGCAGTGCCAGGTAACGAACAAATTGACGCCTGATAACTTCCCTGCGTTTATAGACAAGTCCTCTCTACCCGTCAGTGACTCCTTCCCGATTATGCGCCAGCCTCCTGGGTGGCAGAGTGGGCGGAGATCAGGCTCAGCCTCCCAGCGTGAAATTTACACAGAGCACCCGATCGCGAGGGGATCACCTGTTACCTGCCGGGCCGTGTGTGACCGTCTGGGACTCGAGCCGTCAATCCTTTGCCCAGGAAGCGGGCCCATCTCTGAGGCGTGTGGGGGAGGAGGTCACCGCGGTGTCCCAAGCCAGGCGTCCGGTTGACCTCTCTGCGGGATTCTCTTGAGGCTGAGCGACTGCCCTGGCAGACCCCTGCCTCCTGGCCGGCTCCCCTCACGAGGTGCCGGCGGCTCGAGGGACTCCAAGCGTGCCCGTCTCCTCCCAGGCCGGAGCCTGCGCTTCAGCCCCTTCCTGGTGTTGTGATCTCCGACTGGCGGGAGAGACCACCCCTCTCCTTCCTTCAGGCGTTCTTTGGCTTTTCATACGAGATAGCAGGCCCGGTGTACACCAGAACGTGCCCTGGGCCTGACTCTGGCGTCGTGGTGTGTATTATGCGGTCAGTTGTCCTCAACACCGGGCGTGTCCCGAGGCGCCAGGTCTGCTGGCTGGGGCCAGCGTCCCTGAACAAAGCAGGATGAAAACCCTGCCCCTCGTGCAGCCAGCGTGAGCAAACCTGCATGCGAGCCTGAGCCACAAGCGCGTGACAGCAACCTCTTTGGTTTCCGAGCATTGAAGAGTTGAGAGGTTTGGAAAGACTTGGTGCTCTGCATGGCAGAAACCTGTAAGTGGTCTCTTGAGCTGCTGAGGCTTCTTCTAGGGCCACGGCAAGTCCACTTTTTTTTTTTTTTTTTTTAATTTTTTTTCAGCGTTTATTTATTTTTTTGGGACAGAGGGCAGAGCATGGGAGGGGCAGAGAGGGAGACACAGGGCTCAGTGGGCTCAGGCTCCTGAGCCATCAGCCCAGGGCCTGGCAGGGGCTGAACCCACGGGCGAGATCGTGACCTGGCTGAAGTCCGGACGTAACTGACCTAAGCCACAAACAAGTCCACTTTTTACACACGCTTCCGGGCTCGGCTATTCTCAAAGAGCGGACGGCCTCGCGGTCGGCACGCTGGCCCACGCCTGTGACTCTCGTGTTCCACATCCCGTGGCCTTCCTCCACTCGTACCTGCTTCGTCAGCCAGGCCCCGTGACCGAGCTCGGGAGTGAGTCCGCTCGCTGCTCCTGAACGTCCGTCGTGTTTCTGACCTGCCGGCGTGCCAGGGCCAGACGCGACGAGGCCTGACACGCCACCACGTCCTTGCGGGCTATTCCTCCTCTTTCGTAAGGACCCCCTCCTGGCAGGAGTCTGCTTTGTCTAAAGACCCCCAACAGATCGGCCAGAGGCGACTGCGGCAGGAACCGCCCAACCTGGCGAACCGCAGGCAGACCTGGGCAATACCGAGGACGCAGAGGACAACAGAACCAGGTGCTGAGGGCCCCGGAAAGTTCCATCACACGTTCAACAAGCTCGTTCCCCTGTCTTAGTGTTCCCACCGCCTCCCTCCTGTCCGCCGTCACCGCGAGCATCCGGTGTCTCCTTCCAACATCCTTTCCGCCCACGCCCGGGTGCCAGGCCCGTCTGTCACCTCTGCTGGTTCTGCGCAGGCTGTCGGCCCACGTGGTCCTCCTTTCCCACTGGGCTCACGCGCAGCGGCCGGGGCACCCCCCATACAGCAGACCTCCCTCCTGCCGTGACCCAGGGCTTCCACTAGTGCGAGACTCAGTTCCACGAGAACCTTCCCCTCGCCACACGGGCAGCGTCTAGTTCAGCCCCTCCCCGTCCGTGATGCAGTCTGGCAGCTCTGTCTCCTCAAGAAAGATCCCTGGCCCAGGGCCCGGGGCCCCTGGCATCCGACGCATCTCCGGCATCTTTCCCAGGCCGGCAGATGGGCCTCTCCTAGCCCTGCCCGGGGTCCTGGTCACTGCCCCCAACCACACGCAGCCCCAAGGCTAGAGGGGCACCGGAGGCCAGACAGGCCTCGGGGCAAACGGGTGGCAACTCGGGACTGGCACTCCAGAGCAGGGACCCTCTGGAACCTGAGCCTCTCCCGCTCCTTCAAGTTCTGCGGTCGTTTTCTTTATAAAAGACGCTCTATCCAGCACTCTTGTACTCGGAGCAGGACCGACCCCTGCTCCGTCCTCTGGTGCCAGGATCTAAGGCAAGTATTTCACGGGCGGGGGAGTCGTCTGGCCGTGCTCTTGGCCCGTACCTCCCTCCTTCAGAAAGAAGGACGCTCAGCACAAGGTAAACCAGAATTCCCGTTCCCGGGGCCCCGTACGCGGCCACTGTCGGGCAGAGAGCGCCTAAGACACACGCTGGCACCGGCACCACTCGTGCACGAGCCACTCGGAGACGGACTCTGCACCTTCCCAGCCCCCAAGCAGCTTCTAGGTGCTTTACATCAGCTGTAGCGGGATGGACAAAGTCCTCCCCGTTCTGAAACTTAAGAGAAGTCACGTACACTCGACACTCTACAATTTCTTCACGAGATACAGCTGCAGGTTAAGCGTGAGCACACGACCCGCTAACGTCCCAGCTGGCGTCTCAGCGAGCCACTTCCCGGGCTTTTGCGCGTGTGCATCAGGCTGCACGTGACGCTGCCCGGGCCTCGCGCCCACCCCGGGGGGCGCTCCGCACTCACCATCCAGCTTCATCTGCTCCGGGCAGTAGTAGTGGACCACGGCCAGGAGGGCGGCCCCGTCACTGCCGTCTCTCATCAGGTCTTCCAGCAGCGGGAAGTAGGGCGGCTGCCTCGCGGACAGGTGCTCTCGGCGGTAGCGCACCTGCGGGCGAAAGGAGGAGAACGGTCCACGCGTGACGTGCCTCCACGACCCCGGCCGCTACGGGCAGGCCGTTAAATCTAGAACTGCCCCGATGCCCGCGGGATGATGTTTCGAACAATGGCGATCATATGGAAAAGCTCACACGCCTGGATGACGTACTCGGCCTTGGACACACACGTCAAGATCCAGGGAACTGAGCGCCACGGCCACACTTGGGGGACAGCAGTTAGCTGCTGACGGTGCCACGGCTGTCCCACGCTACAGGGCGCGTGAGACCGGATACGGAATGTGTGGCCACGCGACCAAAAGCCGCATCCTCTGAGCAAGCGAGAAACAAGTTAAGCGGTGACCGCCCTAATGCTCCGAAGACCCACCTGACTGTTCCTTTCCTCCACATCATCGGCACGAACCTCAGCCAGTAAGAAAAATGCACAACAACGTTGACGTCTGGTCTGAGAAACTCCCCAAACCGGTTCGACAAAATTTCATAGAAAACACCCACCAGACCCTTTAATAACTGCAACGAAGCATCAGGAAACCGAATGCACGCGAGGTGCCGTGTAAAACAGGTGCTTTTCCAAGGTTTCCACACTTGCGCCTCTGGAGGGCAGGGTACGCACGCCACCCCGAGCCTCTCCGCGCGCCCCCACGGCACCGCGTCAGGTTCCGAGCGTGCGGACACGCAAGCCGTCCGGGGAAGGGGGGGCCTGTCCCAGACGTCCTGCCGCGCACTCCGTCCCTCCTGCGTTAACGCTTCCGGTCTGGACGCGCCTTCTCCAGCGGGAGAAAATACACGACAGAAGCGGGAGAGAGGAAACCAGCAGTCTGTGCTAACGACTGTGGGTCGCTGAGAGCTGCACAGATGGGTTCAGCCCGAAGAAAAACCATCTCTCGGCAGTCGAGAATTTAAAGTCGTCTGAATAAATACACAGGGTAATCGATGCTGGGATCGGGTATAAAACACGCCTGACGCATTCTTTCAAAACGGGAATGCGGTTTATTCTGTGTCACTCAAGTCTGTGTTGACGGAGACCTTAACTTGTTTCTCGAGGCCCGCGGCGGGCCCGGGGTGCGGCATGCAGGGCGTGGGGCATGCTCCGGGCCAGGCTTCCACACAGACCACACGGCACACATGGGACGGAGCACGGCATGCGGTGAAGCAAATGGTTTCTCCACTGAGCACAGATGGCATGTGTGTAACTAAAATCAGGGGACACAGCTGAACTCCGGGGCCCAGGGAGCCCGTGTAGGACCTTCGAGTCAGGTTCCTAGAACCTCCAGGCTGCAGAGCAGCGGGCTGAAGCATCCGAGCCTGCCGGCCTGGCCACACCCGCCCGTGCCCGTCCTCACTGGCCCGTGTGCTGCGCTGGAGGCACAGCCATGGCCACCAGCGTCTCCAAGGAGACCTGGACGCTCACTGCCCTTGGTCACGGTTTTCAGCTTCTACAAACCCCTCCGCTGAGACTTTGCTTCCAAAGGACAGCTCCACTTCTGACGCTCTCTTCACTAAATAACACAAGTTCATACTTAGCGCTGTGGCCTTCAGGATTCGGGAAGTTAAGAGACACGTAAAGATTCACAAAAATGCTTTCCTCTTCTTTGTTACCGACCCATCTCAAAGAGAAGCAAAATTATCCACAAAGCTGGACACAAAGCAGAACATGTCACTGCTCACGTGGGTCGCATTTACCAGCTTAGAGCCGTGGTATTTCCTTTATGATAAAACTCTAAGGATAACCTGGTCTGAGTAATTAAACTAAAGGAACAGACAATTGAAGGGGTGTGCAAAAAGGTGTGTTCTAAGACTTCACTGCAAAATGCACCCCTTGGAGTAGCCGGTGTTTTTCCACAGGAATGGCGTTAGCACGCTGGTTCTGCTCCCAGAATGCACCACCAGGTGGGGAGCACAGCTAACGTGGTAGGTCCAAGTCACTAGCTCGTAACTTTCCTTTTGCAGGAAGTTAACTTGGATCCCAGAAAGCCTGCATCCACGCTGACCTAACTCAGACCCTTTCCCCACCCCGGGCAGGTGGGCGGGCAGCAGGGGTGGTCCCAACACCCAGGGAGCTGTCCCTAGAGACAGAAGCCCCTCCCTCCCTTCCACAAGGCCCTTCGTCCTCGGACGACCCACATGACACTTCCTGAGAGAGATGGCATTAAATACCACCATCAGGGAAGGTAACATCAGGACAAAAAACGTAGACAGTAACTTGGGAAATGAGACTAGTCTCATTCCCTCCTTCCCTCCGGTGTCTGCGAAAAGAAAGAATGTACGTTCGTTCTCCCGTAAAGAGTAACTAAGTGTCCGTAAGAAGAAACACAACCCTCAGTCTCTAAAGTTACCTAAGAAACCTGGCAAAACCAAACTGGGCGCGTCTACGGAAAGCCTGCTGAGCCCAGAATCGCATTCTCGCTAGTACTGCAGGAAAGTGACAACAATACCAAGGAGGACATTGGACAAAAGAGGCAGGTTCAGGTGTGAGCAGCTGTTTAATGGAAGCGGGTGATTGCGACAGGATGGCCGTCTGGATGCAGCGGGTGCGCGGAGGTCACTTACGGGCACTAACTTCCAGTACCACTTGGAGGGGGACTGCGCGGGAAGCAGGGAAGGAAGGCAGGAGACGGTGTCAGCGGGCGGGCCGCGTCCGGACCGCGTCACGCACACTTTCACACAATATTCACAGGAGAGCCGGGTGTCCTCTGACAAGTGAGACCCGCCCAGGGCACATGACCTGGATGCCCTGTATCGTCACACGACCGAGGCGGAGGGGACACAGGCACCTCCGCGGGACGCTCGGCGTGGACCGGCCACCACAAAGGACAGCTGCCAACTGCAACTCGGGGGGTGCCAGGCGTGTCCCCTGTGCCCACGTGACGGACAAGGAGGCTCACAGACATGCGGCCCGGGGTGTGCTGCCCATGGCCTCCCCCCCAGCCCCCCCACCACCGGCAGTGAGAGGACCAGGTAAGGGGTCGCAAGAGACCGCAGACGTGGCCGGGTCATATCTCATGCGCATTTAGGGGATGGGGATTCGGTCACACACCCGCTTGGCAAAAAACCACGATCACAGGGGAAGAAAAGGGCGGAAATGACCAGGACGCATAGCACACCACCTGTGTCATTTCCACATCCATCTGCCTGAATTCCACGCAGGCTCGCAGAGGCGCACCAGCGGCTACGCTGGACCTCACGGGGGACAGACGCGGTTTTCGAGGGCACCCTGGACAGGAGGCAATTTTCTCCCCGTTTGGTGAATCTAGAAGCCAATTCCCGGGTTGTCCCGTACGCCCCGCCTCCTCGAGCTTCAATGCGCCCGACCTCTCCCTCACCCTCCCCAGTTAAATACAAGGCCACCTCCGTGCAGGGAGGAAAGAGGAGCACACGGTCACGCCCACCACCAGGGCCACTGGGCGGAGACCTGGGAACGCCCTCCGGGCCGAGTACAAATAGAGGAAGCGAGTGGCGGACTCGGACAAACTTCGTGACAACCGCGAGCGTCACCAGACGCGTTCCGGGAGGGTTAAGGGCACCCTTTACCTTTTGATGAGCCGGACTTTCCAATAACTGCTGTTTTAGCTTGACTTCTTTCTCTGTTATCTCTCTCATTTTAAGATTTACCTGAAGCAGAAAAAAATGCATTAAAAGGGGAACAACTTTCTCTGTGGGTTGTATCGGTAGCTTCACCTCCCACCCAGAGAGCCCACCTCGCTCATTCGCAGTCGGACTCTCAGACGCAGGTTGAGAATAAGTGGTTTTGGCCAATTACACAGACGCAGAAATACACGCATTCCACACGGTCTGTGCTGGGCGAGACCCCAGAGCTGGCCCGCAGTTCCAGGACACACTCTGTGCCTCCGCACGCAGGCCACGCTCATGGCCGCCCACAACAGGGCCAATGAGCCACGCCACCGAATGCCCGAGGTGCTCAAACAGCGCGAGCTGCCACCATCAGCAAATGCCGCCGGTAAGACAGTGTGGGGCAGACGCTCCCGCCCAGGGCCTAGGGGGTGGCTTGCATGTTCCCTGACCGTTCACAAGTAACACCAGATAAACTTCAATCATAAAATGTAACCATGCGCTCCCTAGCTAACACGACTTCTTAGAACTTACTCTCTCCTGGAATGATTAACCCAACGATAAAATCAAAACTACAATTACAAAGTAACACCATGAGGAAAGACACTCATCAATGCTTCAAGGACACGGTCAAAACTATGAGATGAAAAGACACAGAACCGAATGTTTTACTGAACAAGAATACACATAAACGAACTCATGCAAATCGAATCAAGAAGGTAGAAAATTTGTTTTGAAAATACGGTAAAAGGAAAATCAATATTCGGGGCGCCTGGGTGGCGCAGTCGGTTAAGCGTCCGACTTCAGCCAGGTCACGATCTCGCGGTCCGCGAGTTCGAGCCCCGCATCAGGCTCTGGGCTGATGGCTCAGAGCCTGGAGCCTGTTTCCGATTCTGTGTCTCCCTCTCTCTCTGCTCCTCCCCCGTTCATGCTCTGTCTCTCTCTGTCCCAAAAATAAACAAACGTTGAAAAAAAAATTTAAAAAAAAGGAAAATCAATACAGATAAATTTTAAAACAAATGAATCAGAATAGACAGTGGGGGTGCCTGGGGGGCTCTGTCGGTGGAGTGTCCTCCTTCGGCTCAGGCCATGGTCTCGCGGTTCGTGGGTCCAAGCCCCGCGTCAGGCTCTGTGCTGACGGCTCGGAGCCTGAAGCCCGCTTCGGATTCTGGGTCTCCCTCTCTCTCTGCCCCTCCCCCGCTCACACTCTTTTTCTCAAAAATAGGTATTCAAAAAATTCTTCTTTGAAGGATAGACAGATGGATAATATAGCAAGTATTATAAAACATTATTTGTAAAATCTGGGTGGTAGGCACATTCATGTTCTCTGTATCTCTTCATGTTCCGCAATTTTTCACAATAAAACCTTTTCACACGATGTGTTTCTGTCATATGCGAGAGAGTTTTCTAATACGGAAAAGGATTTTCTGATTAGATTGATGGCGATACCAACGAATGTAATCTTTGATACCGTTCATGAAACGTGACGTCGCAAAGATCTACACAACCCTCCCTGAAACTATTTTCCAAATGACCAATGTGTGACGTTACCAAGACACGGGAACTAAAAGAGCCAGGAAGGACACAAGAGCCACAAGTGGACTTTAATATAACCGAGGACAAAGGTCATGGAGTTAGTATCCAGAACATGCAGAAGAATTCTCCTAACAATAAAAAGACAGAGGATCTGAAAAGGTGTCTCTCCGGAGGAGACCTGCACGTGGCCACGCGCACGAACTCGCAGGGGCTCCCCCCGAAGGAGATTCGCACGAACTCGCAGGGGCTCCCCACCGAAGGAGATTCGAACCTGAACCGCAAGACAACACCTCACACCCTCCAGAACGGCTAGAATCAGACAATCAGAAAGCAAGCGTCCGTGAGGACGTGGGACACTGGAGACCGGAGACACCGCCGAAAAGGTAAGAAATGGTGAGGCTGCTCTTCAAAAAGGTCAAGTTTCCACACGCTTCGGCGATCCCATCCCCAAACACCCAAGAAACACGACAGCACAGCACACAAACCTCGTCCACAACGACCACAGCAGCATCCACGAGGGCCGAGGACGGGCACAAGCGTCCCCCGGCCGAGGAGCGGCACGTCCGCCACACGAGGGAGCGGAGCACCGTCGCGGGCTACGACACGCTCCGGCACGGGTGACAGCTGAAAACGCAACGCTGAGTGCGGGCGGCCAGACGCAAAAGGCTACCAAGCGTAGGACCGCGCTGACCCGAAATGCCACGGTCAGCAAGGGTGCAGACAGGAGGCAGACCCGGGGCGGCCAGGGGCCGGGGCGGGGATGGGCAGTGAGTGCCGACGGGAACTCTCCGGATGCGATCAGAACGTTTGGAACTGGCGATGACAGCTGTACGACTTTGTGAATATATTAAACACCACTGAACTGGAGACTCCAAAATACTGCATTTTATAACCTCAATCTTATCCCAAAATTTTTTAGGGAGCTGACAAGAGTTTCAAGTTCCATACTGCAATTAACCTCTGAGAGACTACTACCTGTCAAGTTTTGGTGTCGAATCAAAAGCAAACGAGCACGCGGACTTGCAGGGAAGAGGGAGGAGCGGGGCGACCCTAAGTCCCCCGCTCGTCAGTGCAGACGACCCAGAAAACGGCCCGCAGACCGGCAGGACAGACCCCACGGCTAACCATGCAGAAGCGGCCGCTTGGACACCAGGAGGGAGGACGGCATTCTGCCACACCGTAATCTCAACAGAACGTGACGGCACTCCACTCTCCCACCCACACGTACTTAGGAAGCCAGACCATCTTCGCGTGTTCCCACGCAAACGCTCTGGAAAGGCAGGCAAGAGAGTCCGGCTTCCCTTGCAGTAAGCCAGATATTAAAGAATCGTACAAATTTGTAAAATACCATTTCCTCTTTCAGAAAATATAGTTATTTTTGGTAAAAAAAAAAAAAGGAATACGTTATTTATATTAATATGAAATGAGTTTTGTTATTTTTTTTTTTAATTTTTTTTTTTTCAATGTTTATTTATTTTTGGGACAGAGAGAGACAGAGCATGAACGGGGGAGGGGCAGAGAGAGAGGGAGACACAGAATCGGAAACAGGCTCCAGGCTCTGAGCCATCAGCCCAGAGCCTGACGCGGGGCTCGAACTCGCGGACCGCGAGATCGTGACCTGGCTGAAGTCGGACGCTTAACCGACTGCGCCACCCAGGCGCCCCGAATTTTGTTATTTTTAAGCAAATTAATAAAAATTTTAAATTTTGTGGTTTTTTTAATGTTTATTTTTGAGAGAGAGAGTGTGAGTGGCAGAGGGGCAGAGAGAGAAGGAGACACAGAATCCGAAGCAGGCTCCAGGCTCCGAGCTGTCAGCACAGAGCCCGACACGGGGCTCGAACCCACGAAGCCAAACTCAATGCTTAACCAACTGAGCCAACCGGGCGCCCCAATGTTTATTTATTTTTGAGTGACAGACAGACAGAGCATGAGTGGGGAGGGGCAGAGAGAGGGAGACACGGAACCCGAAACAGGCTCCGGGCTCCCAGCTGTCAGCACAGAGTCCGACGCAGGGCTCGAGCCCACGAACCGCGAGATCATGACCTGAGCCGAAGTCGGACGCTTAGCCGACTGAGCCACCCAGGCGCCCCTAAATTTTCTTGTTTTTAATGTCTAATATGATAAATACTGACACATTAACTTTTTTTAATTCTTTATAATCCAGTTTTTTTAAGAGTGTAAAAGGGGACCTAAGACCAAAAGTTTGAGAGCTCCTTATCTACACAGAGGAACGAAGGGGAACAGAAATGGAAACTACGTGGATAAACATCCCCTAGTTCCAATCACCTTAAAACACGCCTAACCGGACAAGCGCTGCGAACACAAGTCCCGTGATTTCGCTGAGGCTGCAGCAAAGCAGGTGGCAGTGGCACAGCGGCCAGGGAGGCAGAGGTCATCGCCGATGAGCCGAGGGACACGGCATCACCCTGCCTGAGGGCAGACGGTGGGGACTAAAGCCTGGACCAGCCCCAAGAACTCCCGGAGAGAAGGGAGTGCCAAAAGATGCCCAGCCTAAAATAAGCCAGAAGAGAAGAGAGAAGAAGACAAAATGAGACGGATGGAAAGCCGACAGCATGTCAGCCCGAGAGACCTCAACCATCACGTTAAACAGAACTGGTCTAAACAACAAGGCAGATTCTCGCACTGAATAAAAGAGCAGGGCCAACTCCACAGGGTCCGTAGGAAGCTCGCGTTAGGGAGCGCCTGGGGGGGCTCAGTTGGCTGAGCAGCTAACTCTCGACTTCCGCTCAGGCCGTGATCTTGTAGTTCGTGAGTTCGAGCCGCGAGTTGGGCTCTGCGCTGACAGTGCGACCGCGCGGGGCCTGCTTCTGATTCTTTCTCTCCCTCTCTCTGCCCCTCCCCTACTCGTGCTCGCTCTCTCTCTCTCTCTCTCTCTCTCAAAATAAATAACCTTAAAACCAACGTTTTTTTAAATAAACAAACTCGTTTTAAGTAGAAAGAAAACAAGAGGGGCACCTGGGGGGCTCAGTAGAAAGAGGATCTGGACAGGCTGTGTCTGCACTGACAGCTCAGAGCCTGCCTGGAATTCTCTCTGCCCCTTCCCCACTCACACTCACTCTCTCTCTCAAAACAAATACATAAACTTGAAAGAAAGAGAAAGGAAGAAAGAAAAAGAAAGGAAGGCAGGAAGGAAGGAAGGGAGAGAGAGAGAGAGAGAGAGAGAGAGAGAGAGAGAGACACAACATGAGAGGGGCTCCTGGCAGGCTCAGTCGGTGGAATGTGCACCTGGGGATCTTGGGGTCATGAGTTCGACCCCACTGGGTTTCGGGATTACTTAAAAATTAAACTTAATTGGTTAAATCATTAAAAGAGAAGAAATTAAATAGAAAACAATAGAAGAAACCAGTAAAAACCTAAAGCAGGTTTTTAGATTAGAGAGACTGACAAGCCAGACCAACCCGAGGGAAGGAAAAAAAGTGACAGAAATCACCTGGAGCAAGAAAACACCAGGGGGCATCGCTACAGGCACACATACACACGTTTAA